TGTTGCTGAGTTATCCGAGTTTGAAGTGTTATTCGCAGACGTTTCGTAACCAAATTAGGCAACATCATCGTCGCAGTGGCACTGGTGATTTTTTCTAACTTGACTACGAACAACACTTCCAGCTAGGAGAAGTCACCAACACCAACATCCGCAGCCCGAGTTACAATCATTCCACATAACTTCAAACACAAAGGTGTGGTTTCTCGCTCGTGTTAGCTGGGCACGCACCAGGTTCCTTATTGCGGTTGAGCCATCCGACCGATCGATAAATAAACCCAATCGGCCGGGTGATTTTCGGACCAGCATAGGAGAAGGATAAGTTCTGAATCCGATGCTGCTTAAGTTTTGGTAAAGAATCAGTTGTGAAATGATGCGCCATGTGGGAAATTCGGAATGGAAAAAGTTAAAGCGATGATGACACTGGGCAAACGCTTGACTCGTCTGAGATATACGCACTATTTTTCGAAGCGGGTCCAATAAACGGATAATTATAATAAACCTTTAAACTTGTCTCAAGCACGGACTACAATATTCACTAATGTAGACCCATGCAATATTCTTCTTGGTATTTTCCCAACTGGCTGTTTTCGTGTGGAACGATCTTGCGAACTACGTCTTGGATAGATTTCCTGGAGAGAAGAAATATTATGGAAAATGCATATTTATCTTATCTCAGCCGCAATAAGGAACCTGATGCTGGCCCAGCTAACCCGGGAAATCACAGCTTGTTTACAGCTGTGAACCTTAGGCAGACCTAGTGAACTTCGATTATGCAGCAGGGGTGCCATCACCGGCACAAGAAACTGCATGGTTAGTGGTTGTACAAACTGAAACTGAACGGATGAACGTGATAAGAGCATTGCAAAAAGCACAAGGCGGTAATCAGGCAGTACCGCGTTGGGATGAGGGAGTCCAAGTGCCGTAAATCGTGGAAAATGATTCAATCAGATCGCAGAGGGGATTTACCTGTTTAAAGTCATGGGTGAAACGATGGAGGAATCGCCCGGTTCTTGTTGAATGAGTTACCGAGAGAGAATGAGTTACGGTGGGATGGATGGAGTTTGATTGTTCGTCTTCCTACCATACGCCGGGAACTTTATGCCCTTGACGGTTGATCGAGTGAGCGTTAGACGAAAATAAATGAACCAGGTCGTAATTGACCTAGGTCGGCCGGATAAGGAAACGAATCACGTCAAGATGGGTAAATAAACCAGCCAGTCACCTTGCTCAGGTGCGTGATTCATTGAATGAGTCGGTTCAGTCTAGACCCACAATTACCTGGTTAATTCCATTGAGAAAGGGATTTCTGGAATAAAAGCGATTCCTTAGAACTAAATACAATGGGTACTTGTTTCGGGCATTGAAAGGCACAAGTGACAAGCTAATTAACAACGGTATACTGATATAGTGAAAAAATTACAATGTTTCGCCTGAATGTCAAATGATTTCGTTCACTAGTTAACGGAAACATTTTCCAACGGATTTCTCCCAGACTGTCATAAGTATTGTTGTTGTAATGAAAAAAAACAAAAGCGTCTTACATCGTTGTGAGCACCTTTTACACGATTCTTTAATCAACCTTTACAAACGCTCGACTTTACGTCCAACGCCGTTTCGTTGCCTGTTTGAACGTTGACGAAAGCCAAGGGATTCGTTTAAAAGTGATCGTAGTTATTGTGGCAACCTTTGGTGATTGAGCTATCGTCAATGTCCGAGCAACTGTGGCCAGTCCCGTTTTAACTGTGGCGCGCACAAAATAGTGTCATCCTTCGTGATTATCGAGTCGGGTCTAACTTAGTCGTCGCGCACATGGCATGGCTTCACCGACCCACCGAATCAACGGCCACCAGCGAGCTGGACAAGATGCAAGACTGAAGTCTGCCTCAGTTCAACACAGAAGGAGCGTGAGAAGACAGGTTGTCAGCCCGGGGGGTAGAAAAAAGTGTAATCCATCGACCAATGAGATGTGCTGAACGGATGCAGACCTAACCACAGCATTTATTGTTCAATTCAAAGTGCTAGTTTCTCAGATCACTCTCAAAATGGTATAGGCCATTTATTTCCAGTTACTCAACTTAGCCTCATTGCCTCCACCCGGGAAATTGATTTGGAAAAACGGATCAAATCGGCAGCTCTCACACCGGATGGCCGGACCTACTCCAAGGTGCTGGTGAAATCGATAAAGCAACCGGTACCTGATGATCACAAGAAATCCAGGGTCATTTGTTCCAAACCTAACACACAACACGCAGCTGACCCCAATCCGTCCTTCAAATAACTGTTACGTAATCACAGTGCTAAACTCTTGGCAGTTTGTGGAGCTCTGCTTATTCGGTTGCATCCGCTGACCTTATATGCACAAAATCTTTTGATATAATCAACCCATTTGCCGTGGAGTTGACCTTCTACTTCTGTATTTAGTAGTCTTTGAATGCTCGCACACGTTTATTCACCATACTTGAACAACGCCATATGCTATCTACGTGCCTGTTTGTTTTAAGTCCGCGATTGAGAAGGTTAAACAAAATGCTAACATCTCGCGACATCTATCTTCTTTCTGGGATTTCTCCGCTCCCCGTCTGGGGCCCCAAAGATTCAGATTGTCTTTGGGCGGATACACTGCGGGATATGGTATCCAACCGAAGTCAGCGGCGCAAATGCATCCTCTTGTCTGCAATCCCAAAAATAAACAAAAACGAAAAAAAACTCAAAATTGCGTGCAGTAAACAAACAAAAAGAAAAATTTTTTACTCCCCGAAGTTGACTGTTTTATTTTCCCCGCTTTTGTACCTATCTTTTTCGCTCACCCATGGTTATTTGGTGACGTAATTCTTAAGAAATATATATCTTTCTTTATTGAATAAATGCCATTCTCTAATTGGAATGGTGGTAGGTAGCTCTGCCGTCATCCGGTTCGATACCACGCCTAACCTAGTGGGGCTTCATGTGGTTCGCCACTCCAATTCCCACGGCTTAGGTTACCGGTTTCCATCACTATAAAGCAGGTCCTTGTGACAATGGGGTCTACTCCTTCTGTTATTGATGACACAAAAATGAGCAATAAAGAATATTAAAAAAAACTAAGAGCTTTAGACTACTGATGTCCGAATTTAGAAAGACGAACTGCCTTGAGAAGGCACTCCATATCGAAACGACTAACCTCACACAGAAATTTTTTGAGACACGGACTGCTCTGAGTGAATGACATTCCCAAGGGATGACAAAGGCATCGCTCAAGAATGTGTGTCGCACTGTTACAAACAGCGTTAGCGATAGGTAAGCACCAACCAAATGCAGCAGATGAGTGACCCATGCGTTTCATGAGATCGATTAATCTTCCCGTGGTGGACACAAAGTGATAAAGGTAACACGTAGCCGCTCTGATTTAGTCTTGAAAACTTCTTCAGTTACTCAACACGTTGACGAGGTTAGTGACCTAAGGAAATATGCACACGTTGCAAGCGCACATGTTGAGAATGGAGAATGATTGGGATGCGAAGTGAAATCAAAATACACGATGGAAATCAGAAGTTTGATCAATCTGTTAATGAAAATATCGACGAACCCATTGTTCAATTTTTATTAGTAAAAGCCTATTTTCAAATTGATCTTCTCTACCGAACACAATATGACATTTAAAGGCCGAATTCATGTAGCGTAAGGTGAATATCGCTCGAATAGAAAGAAAGCAAAAGAAACATTTTTGGAGGCAATATTGGTCAATTAAAAACGCACAATAAGGACAGGAGACAGATTCGAGCATACAGTCTTACACAGAGAAACAAAGTGGCAGAGAATGGGATAGAAGGTTACCGTCTCATTCTTTTCCACATAAGAATTGAAGGAATTGTCAAGGGAAAGCATATGCGACCGACAGTTAGTGCATCTATCTGGGTGGATCCGAGACCAAAGGATGCGGTCACAGACAAAGAGGAAAAGTAGCAGATAAGCACAAAATGATAGATTCCTAATAAGTAAAAATAAAGGGAGCGAGGACAATCAGAACTGTGAAACAATGTAATGATGGAAGCGAGCATCAGGCGGAACAAAGCGAGAGTGAGAGACAGAGGGAACTGGAAAACGACGCTTTGAGAATAATGCATCGTCTTCGTTGCAGAGACACAAAGCATTTATGGGTCTAGGAAAGTGTGTGAGGTTTGGGCAAGTGGCACATACAAATACAAATGAAAAGAACCACATAAGTCGAGTTCCAGTACCGGAGTATATTAGAAACACACACAATAGGCGAAAACAAGGACGAATTGGAACAAAGTAGCACCTAAAGGGAAAACACTAGGAGAGGGGGAGTGAATCGCAACGTTCTAACTCAGAAAAGTGTTCTACCAAAAGAAGATACAAAGAAGCTGATATAGTTCAAAAGATGAATAAATTGATAGATGAGAAGAGGGTTTAGAATTTCGGTGGGAAATCCAAGGAAATAAACTATAAAAATTAGGACTTATGAATTGCGATTCGTTGATCTATACTGTGCGTATCATTGTATACAGTGCACTTGATAAGAATAAGGGAAAATAAACAATCTATTTCGCTAAGAATTACTCACAAAAGCAATGTACATATGTCAGTGAAAAAAGCGATTTGGGTGATTGTTCATGGGCCGATGATAAGGTGTAAATGTTTGGGTGCAGATTAAAGCATTTGAATAACGACAGTGACGGAATCGGACTCGTGGGAGCGTGCAAACTGTGTAGGGAAGGTGCTGGCGCAATAGTTATCTGCGAATAAATTGATGAATGGATCGAGTCGATAAATCAAGAAAGACGTCCTAGGGTATGTGGCTTCAGACAAGCACAGGAAGCGCTGGACCGGTGGTATTATCAAATTCAACTGCGCTCCAGTGACATTATGAATTTCTAACACGTTAATTTTTAGTGGAACCCAGTGGGACAGTTTTCGGTTCTTTGACGCATCGTTCTAAAGTGACCAACGCTTGTTTTGCGTCAGTAAACAGCTGAAAAAAATAAAAAAAATAATACGTATAAGTAGGTAGCGTTTTCAACGGTTTCAATCGTGACCGTTCGTGCAGTATATAAAAAGAACAGTTTGGGAGTAACAAATAACAAATACTACAGTTGACATTTGGTTGTTTGTAGTTAAATCGTTGCTTTAGAGATGATAACAGACGAATTCTTGTGTAGCGACCAACGGTAATGCAGTATTCATGAGTTAACCTAGATTCGCATATTTACGAATAGATTATACATACGTTTACGGTGAAATGTCACAGCCCAAAGATTTATCCATGATGAATGACACAGGCTATGCACATAGCTCAGTGTCGTGGTCATTCGAGTTGAGAATCCAACAGGGTTAGACGGCGTAATCGGCAAACGAACAAACGATTTACATCACTTTATGACTCAATGATTAACTACTTATGAGTAGTTGCGCGGGATACTAGGTTTCTCCCTACAAACCCGGTTACTCCAGTCTAAAATTCACTTAGAAAGCCCCCAAATTTAGGATAGATCGTTTTAATTACATTTCACAAGTTAGATAACCAAGTGTTTTGTAACGTGAGGATCACTGACTGAGTGAATCGAGGATTATGCGTGGAGTTGATGTTCGAAGCATAGCCAGTAAAAATCAACACGAAGCATGAACGAAATTCGAATAAAAAGATGATTTTACAGTCCTATGCCGCAGAAATTGCAGGTTATTCCGAGGGGTATTACGACGGGTGAAACAGTCAGTTATAATGACCCATTGCTCAGATATCGATACATTTAGGTCTCTTTACCTCGATACCGTTTACAGCATTCTTTCGATCACCTAGATTAACGGTCGGCAATGCACACTGTTCAACACCATTGTCAGTCATACTGTTCTAGAATAGCCGGTGTTTCTGAAAACTCAGCAAATACCAAATCCGCGAACTCGAGTGGTCCGCGTGTGCCAGGGAGTTTCTCCAATTTTATCTGCTTAGTACTTGGATGCATGAATGCCGAACCCCGATGAAAAGAACCACCTAGCATATGCCGGTCTTATCACGTGGTGCTTTATAAGTCGAGAGACAGAAGTGTTCCAGTACCACGTTATGATTCATGCTGAACGTCAGAGGCAGAATCGTAATAGTGGATCTAATCCCGGTAAACAATTTATCGTGAGAAAGTGTGAAAAATAAACTGTCCTGATGTTCAGAAGTCTTACCGAGAAAAAACCAAAACTGTAGTTTTGAAGCAAAGTTACACTGAAAGAATTTGTTTTAAACTCTATACCCCTGATAACATCAGAACACATTCGATGGCGAAGAAATGCATGCCACAGATCATTCACAAACACGTCACGACGTCTAGCTGTTGGTGTCTAATTTGATCAGAGGTCAGAAGTGTCAAACTGCGAGTGGGGATGTGGATGTGGGTTAATTGTATCGTGGGTGCGAGAGAACTCGATAGACAATTCATAAAGCATGATTCCGTATTCTTCGAGTGATGTGTCAGCTGGACGGCTGACTATCACATAAAACACAACCATAACTTTTTCACAGCGCTGCAATGAACATGAACAATGCTCATGAAGCCTTCGAGATGATAGCTATGATGCTACCGGGTGATTCACTAAACCGGAAATACTGCTGAACAGGATTTTCAGCTGCGGTTCATTGGCACTTTTAGCCGAGGAAACTGGGTGGAACGGCAGAGTATGATCACAACTCACAAGCCCGTCCACATACCGTTTGTGCCTGTGGTCATGTGAGTTGGCCACTTTGTGTTGAATTTTCGTTACTCGGGGAAAACAAGTCACAGGTGTCAGTCATTGCAAGGTGAACATAACGAACGATGGCAAAACGCATCTAGTGCGACTCAACGCCTCAGGTCTAAGAGTGCGGGAAAAATGCGGTCTATTTTTTGCTTTCGGAATAAGACGGTTGACTTATTCACATGTATCCCGAACACTCAGACCTGAAGCGTTCAGCCGGACCAAGTGTTTGCCATCGTCCGTTACGTTCATCCTGTAGTGACGGGAAAATGTGAAAAGTCAAAACAAAGCGACCAGCTCACACGACCACAAGCGATTCAGGAGGGTGTATGGACGGAGTTGTGAGTTGTGATAGCGCTCTGCCGTTCCACCCAGTTTCCTCGGTTAAAAGGGGAAAAAACCGCAGCTGAAAAGCCTACTCAGCAGTGTTTCTGGCCTAGTGAATCACCTGGTCGTATACAGTGCGTGGCAAACGCGGACAACCTGTCTATTATGAGCCAACTGACCAACACATGAAACTGCATACTGATCAGGGTTAAGACGGTGATAAAAAGGAAAAAGGTTTCAAATAAATCCGTGCAAACAACCTTCACCTTCGAAACTGAGTCCTCATAACACAATTTTAAAACCCCCCGTCCCAAAAGCCTACATCACTGGCGAAGAGCATAAACGAACCACTTTCGTGACTTTAAGGTTTGTCTTCAACTGCCAGAATCAGGATTTCCGGCGCGATCAAGCCGAGTGCCGTAAGCGTGGCATATTTTTCTTGCTAGGACAAGGAAAACTATCAGAAACTCATTAATCAGCAGATAAAAAAGACAACACTGAAAATGCTTAATCCTGAAATCATTAACATGGAGAAGTGCATAACAGGATGGGAAAAACAGTGAGATTATACAAGTTTCGAATATCAGACAACTGTTCATCATCATTAGGCAGCTTAGTCTGCCTCAAACATTAGAGTACAAAAGAGTTAGGCTTTGTGTAATATACACGGTGATATATCACGTAGGTTTTATAACCATTACAAATCATAGAACAGATCCGAATTCGAGTAATCCAACTTACCTCTGGCAATTCGAGACCGAGGAATGCGGACTGAATTTTGGTTCGCGCCTCCAAAGGGAAAGTGTGATCTTGAAGCAATTTGGCCACTTCCGTATAGGCACAAGCATCAAAAAGACATCCGAAAAATGACAATGGACCGCTATTTTCAGCTGCAGAAAATCCAGAAGGATTTAGCAATGCAAGGTCTTGAGCCGAGCGGGCGGCTTGGATCAATTGATTCAATGCAAGTTCGTGACTGGCCGAGAACACGTTGGCTAATAACCCGGTGATTACATCCAACAACTGTGAGAGCCACCGAGTACGATTGGGGTGCGGGGAGTCGGACGCTAATTATGCGAAGAACAGAAAATCATTGTTGGGAGGAGAAAATTGATAGGGAGATGAAGAAACAGAACGTTGAACTGAACAATATATAAACGGTAAATTAAAGCAGGACCTAATAAACAAGATATAATCGTTTCGGTTGGAGACCACTCCAGCGGAGATGGTGGTATATTGAGCAGCATGGATGCGAAATCAGTTTGATCAGTGGACTTCAGTGTATAGAAAAAAGTTATTGTAGCAGCCAGAAAGATAATGTGGGCTAAATATCTTAAAGTGTGTAGGAAAATGAGCTGGGTGGACGAGGAATACACAATGTGAAGGAACGTAACCAACGCAACATGTGGGCATTAGACTTATCCCACATAGTAATTCTCCATTTCCTTTAATTTTGCATGCCTCCAATAGGTCATGAAAATCATTCAAAGCTGTTTTTATTCCTTTCTCCGTAGTGGTAAACGGTGTATTCACACAGAGACTTCCCACAACGCCAGGTGATAATCTCTGAAAGGCATGTAAGTAAGTACAAAAGTACACCAAACCTCACCATCACCTACTAAGGGACAATCATCAGCGGAACACCAAAATGAATTTGTCAGACTTTGATACTAGTCAATGTTGTAAAGACTAATAAAAGCTTATCATGATTAACTTAGACCCAGGATGACTCGTTTATACAAAGACCAAGGCAAGACAATAAGACACTTGCTACTTCAAGTTTGAACATTTTTTGTTATGCGGATCAAGTTCACTGTAATTTTTGGTATGCGAATGAACGTAATCTTAAAATACTATTTATTTCACGACCACCTCCTGCTGATGGATGACTGCTTTAGCACTGTAGCAGTTGGTGTAAATGATGATAGAATCACGGTTTCATAGTTGTACTTTGTAGACCCAGTGTAGGCTTGGTCGTTCAACGTCCGACTTCAGTGTTCATTCATGTTTGGAGCTAACCCCAAGACGAGCACGGAACAACCACGAGAGTGTGATACGCAATGGCGACCCAGCAGCACTCAGCCTTTCTGTGCACCACTACTCAGTACACAAACAGGAGTCAACCGCAAAACAACGAGCATACTACCCATTTGACCACCGGATACTTCAGCAGGCCCAAGAAAATTCATCTGCCCTGGTCTGGGCAACCTGGCAGTTCTGAGTTCGATTGCCAGTACGGTGGACCGACTAACACTACAGATGAGAACCAACCAGATCAAAACAGGTGTACAGTGCTACCTAGGTTTTCAGTTCATGCTCTTTCTATACATGCCGAAATTCACTGTGTAGCTTTTAGATATTTATAGGCTGCCTAAATCTACCTCAAGATCAATTGATCGATTCATCACCTGCACAACCAGCATTTCTAACCAAACGATCTCATCAGTATGAACGCGCGACTCGAATGCCATGTGAATCACATCAATCTAAATAACTCAAACCGAACAGTGCGCTGCGCACATAGCTGCTTCATACCGATTCGTGTCTACATCACTCTGTAGATGTTTCAAGTCTGCAAAGTGTGTGTGTGTGTGAATTTCTTTGATTATCTTCTCTCCTTTTAAGGGAATGTGTGCGGACCAGTCAGGAGCTCAGTGAAATGCTTACCGCTCGAACACCAAGCAAGACAAATCCCCGCCCCAACAATCACACCAAAACAATTTTTTCATGCGAATATCTAAACCAAACAAAACAGAATGAGCCAAAGAGATTTGATAGAGTATGGACATGAAATTTGATCTTAATATCGGTATCTTTCTTTTAGTACTTTATGTATAAATAAGGTCATTTATGCAAAGTACAAAACACGGGCTCGAATCCCAGGTAATGATTTCCACAAAGCACGGCGGGGGTACCAGGAAGCATGATTATGGAGCTCATTAAACCTTAACCGATGAGCACTAATACATAGACAAACAGGCACGCAAATGCGGTTGTTTTGGATCAGTCAGATCACAGGTTAGAAATGGCAAAATAAATCGATGCAGGCAGCGTGCGTGCGTGTATGCGCGAGCACAAGTGAGATCAGCGAGTCAACGGAGAACGGTGAATCACCACAAGATAAAAAAAACAATGCAAAGTAATGGAACACACTGCATTGGCTGAGCAAGGAATGATCCCGACATTTGAGAGAGAGACAGGCATTGCTCGTTTGTCGCGATGACAACCCATTAGTACTCCCACTTGGGCAAAGCCGGATTCGTAACTGGCACTCGTTTTGTCTGACACCATCCATTTGTGAGTACGAGGGTACATAGACGGCTGGCAATGTTTCATGCACTGAATTGTCTACGGACGAAGATCTACAAAAATGAACAAGAAAGCAGAAAGATAACGAAAATGGAGGTCAAAGACCATCAGAGCAAGCAGATGTGCTTGGAGAACATATATAATTTCAATCTGTACAATCCCTTGCCTTGCACTGTCGTGCAATGCTTTTGTTTATGCTACCTATCGAATATTCATTTAATTCGGTCAATGTGGAAGGAGTAAACGGAACAGTTAAAAATTGGATATGCGCAAAAAACGATCAGATACACGTCAGAAGACAAACAAACCGACACAGAAACGGTAGTGGTTTGTTTTTGACTGAAACGTGAGCGTATCTGCTGATAAACGTCTGTCATAATGCAAAACAATATGACATTTATCCAGAACCGATCGTGAGGGTTGCGTTCACAAGATCTGACATAAATCAAAACGTAATACAAAAAACGTAACACAAAAAAGTGAATGCTCACTATATATCCACTTACAGTGAACTCTGTTCATGAGATGTGGATACATTAACAGCCCCAAAGTAATAAACACTGCTCACAAAAGACACCATGTTTAGCCCACCATTCCCCAGCAAGCTATAGACAAAACCTGTAATTCTTAAGCTTCCACTGTAGTAATTATGTTAAATGGTGCAACGTTAATAAACTGATGCTAGTTATGGGGATGTACTTGTGTGAACGGTGTTTATTATCATCGGCATGTTCATGTATCCACATCTCATGAACGGAGTTCAATTGAGAATGGAAAACAATGTGCCGTTTGTTACACTTGGGAGTTTCACTCACAGGAGTATCGCGGGTTATACGGAAATACTGGAGCTATACGAGATGTGCCAAATGGTCTGACGATACGGACACATCGGTTAAACCTTCTCCAATCGACATGTGGTGCAGCGTGCGACCGCTACACCTCATTTCCTAACCAAGCTTTGCAACATCAACATTTGTAGAAAACAGAAAAATTCAACATTCATTGACCTTAGTGTATATACAGATACTTTTCTATCTGACTAGCCTACAGCGGTATGACTCAAGTTTATGCGTCCAGGCTAAAGGATCACGGTTGATGGCCAAAGCATTGCTGGTTTCGACTAAAGCTCGACGGAAAAAAGTGCAGTTCTGTGACATATCGGTATGTAATCCAAAAAATTTTCTGCAATATGCATAACACTGAAATATTACCTGCCATTCAATGCGTGAGGACTGATCTCATCACAGTGCACAGCGTCCGTAGATTTTGAAGAGAACAACGGAAATGAGTCCATGCTGAATTTAGTTCCGTTCGAGCATTTACCAAGGGTTGAGGAGCGCTGCACAGATTCGGGCTGTCCACAGGTATCCTCTAGCACTTCATATTTGTCTAGGGCTAGTTGGGCAGCAGCCGCGATACGAACAAAAGACAGTTGCTGTGTCACTAGCAAGAACGGATCGGAATCGTGATCAGTCCCGTTGTCTTCTGTCTCGAGAAACACTGAGGATCGTGGGAGCCGACCAAGAATGCGCACATCTGCTGGCAAGCACACAGTTTTACACCGGCTACTACTGAGCAGAGTTGGCACCGGTTCTAGTGAATCGTCCGATTCGGTACGTGGCCCACACGCGGGAGGGACTAGACTGTTCGCAGAGAAGGCCAATCTGGGCAAAAAATAGAGAAAGATTAGGCAACCGGGACAAGTGCACTAATGGTGAAATGTTCTAGTGCATTCTAACCATCTGCTGGAGTACGATCAGGAGCATATGACGTGGGTAGTGCCTGATCACCTTTTCTTTACACCTCACGAAATGCTCCTCTAATGAGGTAGCTCTACTCAATGAATTTGTGGTGGTGGTTCCCTACCACAGTGGAAGGACGAAACGTCAACATCCGGGGTTATAGCAGGCTCGGTGAAAAACTGGCAGTTCACCTATGGGAGTTGGCTGAAAACCCTGACTCAAAACCAACTAAAAAGAGGCAAACGAACCACAATCAAATCATTCTGGTTCTGTCGGTGGTGATGATGTCTTGATCGGGTATCGACGTATATTCGGTACCCGACTAGATATCGGCCAATGGATTGCAGGTTTCGGTTGTAAATTCACCAAGGAAATCGACCCGGGCAAGTTAGTTGTTTGCTCACAATCAAATAGTGCACTGATTTAATTGTTACAAAGATGATTATACTGTGAATATTTTGGCCCACAGTCTGGATTCAGACACCTGTGAAATACAACAACATGATAACACAGTGCGGGTTGAAAAATTAGAAACCAACTCCACCGTAAAAAATCACGCATTTAATCGGTTCAAATACGGGAATTCTGAGCACGGTGGAACAGATCTGTGAGTCACTTGTTCTTGTTGAGTGGGATTAACTTTTTGGGGGATGTAAAATCTTACAAATCAAACAAATGTTTCAATCCTTACAAATGTATGTCACTTCGATGGAATAACGAAGAGCTTAGACACAGAGTATTTCGAACCGGGATCGCAAAGACGTCGCAACTCGTTAGCTGGTGATAATGAAGAACAGGGTAGAAAAGATGACGGAGATAGTGTTCCGGTTGTCACTTCATCCAAATATTTGAAGTGTATGCAGAGTTAGACTGTGCATGTACTCTGTACGTTGACCATACTGGAGCATTTTGTTTTACCTCCTGGATCACATTCGCTTTACCCACCTTTTTAATTTGGAAGCGATCTGTGGGATTCGCTTCATTGTATTTCTCGGCAAGATTGTGATGAGTAAGATATAATGCAATTTTTTCTTGTTCATATGTGCGCTCAGAATATGAAAATTATTCAAAAATAATGCAGCAGCTGTTTCTTCATCAAGCATTTTTTTCACTACAAGCAGTGATCATTTTAACTTCATACAAAAATCAAACCGATCTTTTGTCAGTATGTAACAGATCAGTAGCAAGAGTGATGAAAAGTTCCTATCAACGGAAACACTTACAAAGCATCACGATAGACCCACTGGTCCCTATGTGTCCAAGTGGCGGAGGTTCGTGCAACCAGAACAGATTCGCCGTGTCCTGGAGATGAAAACGTTGGACTAATCTGGTCCGCATGGCTGCCTCCCACAATGCTGTTTGGTTCTTGAACTGCCATTTGGGCTAAATGACCGGGGGAATCGATTGATGAATGTCGCGTATAGGCCCGAATCATTGACTTGTCAACAGTATGATAAAAAGTATTCGGCTGAACCTGATTCAGAGGAGGGCCCGCTGTAGGTGAAGATGAACCGTGCTTATGGCGCCGGGGAGACCAACGACGACGAGGAAGCCAACGCCGAGTACGACTGGATAGTGAGGATAAAGTGACACGACCGAAAGGTTTCCAGAGGCCCAAACCGTTTGCTAAGGCAGTCTTACGTTGACCTGAAGGAAATGGTGAGGGAATATTGCAAAAGTTCTATCAAGATGAGCAAGAAAAGTTGAGAACAATGCTCCGTTATTGTAGATATGCAATATTACGGCATTGAAAATCAAATAAATAGATAAATGCTCGAAAGAGTAATTGGTCAAATCAAAAAGGTTTAAGAGGAAAGAGCAAGCGAACACCAAGAGTATAACGAAATCCTAGCCAATCAAATCAAGTAGCACAATAAAAGCTAGAAATCTTTTTCACAAACACTGAGGGTAGAAGAATGAATGTCTACGATGTTATCAGTGAGTGATTAACTTCATCTTCACTGCATGATGGTCACACAAAAAAAGCGGATAAAGCTGAGCATCGATGAACAAAACGTGTAGTGAATATCACAAACAAGACAATATGGTGAATGTAGTAAGGTGGGTGGCGGCAGCAAAGTGGTTAAGGTCAGTTTCACGACAGTCTGGAGATAGTGTGCTTGAATCCCACTTCCAATGATCCTCAGGAAGCATTCAATAAGTTGCAGTCCTCTTCTTCACTGTAACATTGTATGTCCAATATATAGAAATCAAATAGGGAGATCGGGACCGATCAGTATGATTGCTATGCTATCTTTTTATTTACATACCACCATAACTTTCAAAATGGTGCTCAAGAGAGAGATAAGTACNAGGTTAACGATACTCACTTCAATGAAACCACTGCAACAGAGCGTTTGGAGGATAATGCATTACCAATATGCGATTCTTCTAATATAAATCTTCCCGGTTCCACTTTGTTCTTATGTATCAATGGGGATATGTTACGATAATAATAACCGTTTTTGAATCCAAATTCACGGCAGTTTTTGGATGTCATCCTTGCATATGAAGTTTCTGTTTCTGTCGACTGAGTGTACTTAGAACAAGCGATGAGCGGATGAAAAATGACGAATAGAATAGATAAACAGCCAATTTGTGTATGAGATTGCGTATGGGTTGAGAGATCAATCTCGTTCAGGCACAAACAAACAAATCGGCGCGCGGAGAAACAAATGTTAGCTTCGATTAAATAGCAAAGTTCATTCGCTGGAGACAAATAACGAGTCAACGACTCCACAGAATGATATACTACTATTTAAATTTCGCATTCGTAATGCAACCAGTGGACATTATAAGCAGGTAAACCGGTCGGGAGCGATCTGCTGATCTAGATACATTTAACGGGGGAAAGTGGAAGATTTCTAATAAGAACCTATGTGTTCGACGTCACAGTTTCACAATCTAAATTTCGAACGTAGTTCATAACGTGCACTGTGAACTGCTTCCACATTTGGTCTTCATAATGTGGTTAATATCACTCCTCAGCGTGTGATGTTCCAGTCAAAATGGCAACAGTTGTGTGAACCTTGAGGGCAGCAACATTAAGACTCAAAGTACACGGGCTTATCACGTGATATCAACATAGACCATGGCGAAGCTACTTTAGAAAAACCGGTGTAATGGCTTACCATTTGCGTGACGGGTAGCTAAGCGTGCGTCTGTATGCGTAGCAGACGGGCCTGTCGAAGCAGTTGTAACTACGACTTTTTGATCCNACGCATGAATGGAGCGAACAGAAAATGTGGCGGGGAATTTCTGAGGGTCATCCGAACAGGCATCCAGTGAGATGTTTGAAGGTTTATTACTAACTTCCAATGAATTGCGTGAGATAGGTTCCACGGCTTCACGACGAGCGCCTGTTGAATCAGAACCTGCGGTAGACAGCCAATCGGGGTCAGTCGCTAGCCACATTACTGAAGCTAGTTCAGTTGCTGCATCTGTCGCGTGTATGGTAGTTGCTCGGATAGGTCCCATGGAGGCTTGGTCGGTCTTCTGAGTAATCAAGAGGCCTCCGCCGGATTTCGATGCCAACAGATTTAGACACAGCCATGCAATTCTAAAATATAAATCAGACGAAAGTACAGTACGGATAACTGGAGATCGACGTGGACGGGCACGCCTGAAGACATGAATTTTTAACATCAATTCGTGGCAGGTTGACAACACATGATGATGGCTCAGATTTTAAGGGTAACTGGAAAATATCGAGGAGAAACTCACGCTCGTAATCCCATGTTTTGACCTTCAGTGGCGAACTGAGTATACATTTGTATTAATTCCGGCTGCTTGGCAATCCAAGCTTGACCACAAGTAGAAGAACCCACATGGGCAAGTGCCCACATGGCACCTTTGATCTCCATAATTGACACCGTATGAGATGGACTATCAGAATGGCAGAAATTCGATTTAGCATTCCGTGAATCTGAAACAGTAGATTGTTTCGTGGTCCAACAGGATTGACCTGTACGTAAAATGTGCACCGCAGCCTGTTCGAGAGCAAGCGAATGAACAGAAAATTAGATGATACGAAAAGCGATAACAATGAAAAGGGCACATAGCATTGACATGCGTTGAATTTTGTATTTGAAGCAAGACTGCATGCCTGAATCGAAACTAAGATTGACAGACAGGACGCCAGAAGTTGAACAAGAACGATAATGGAAAACGTGAATCTGAGTGACTGGGATCGTGGTAACGACTGAACGTGCAACTTTCATATGATTGGTGAAATAACAATGGAACAAGCAACACGTGATCGAGACCTGAAGGTCTAAAGTCCAATAAAACAAGCAGCGGCAGTGAGTAAAAGTTTTCCCGTGGATGACTGAACCCTTAATCCCGGACTAGAAATGGCTATCAGCAAGTATCCCTCATAAAGCATTGCCACCTATGTGGACGGCTTCCACAAAACATTAAAAAAACGATGGAAAAAACTATGACCGGCATGATGAGTCACATACAATTAATTGAAAAAATTCGATTTTAAACATTTGAGTGATAGAACAGCTCGGGAAACCAGGATACCGTGAAACATCACAACTCTGTATAAATTGCACCTTTATCACGAAAACATTATTCCCGCAACTCCAGTTTGGACAGCTTCTCTAAGCCCGCACCTCACAATAAGTTCTGGTAAACAGCTCTCAGAATATGCAAATAGCTCTCCTGATATCAATCCAACGTTTGGAACGNNNTCAAACAATACGCTGTTGGAAACAAACCAGGTAAGGTAAAATTGCGAAGGTCTGGCGGTCACGAATACATCATGATTGAAAGTGGAGTTAAGAAAGGAACTCGTTTGTTACTGAGTCAGAAACAGAAACAAATTTCGGCTGAATGATCGAGGATGAACTCAAAGGGTTGATTCCTGTGACAGTGACACCCCGTTTCTCTGATTGTGTGGACACAAACACAAGGAGAACGCCCTTATTTTTATAGAGCTTAGGTGCACTTCAAAACGTTGCTCAAGTCCTTGTAAGATGTTTGACTGAACACGGAATAAAATAACTTCTCTCCTGATAGTCTGGACCACCTTCATCCTGCTTCTCATATCCCAAAAAGGTGATAAGACAGTATGCACAAAACGGAGACATCTGCTTGATCGACAAAGCGAGGAAACTGATTGCGGTGTTGCTGCTGAATCTCTTTACGACTGCAAGAGTCTCAATACCCCTCACAAACACGGGCGGTTTTACCCGAGGAATGGAATGCCCAGACCGAATCGCGGAACACTAGCACAAGTCCCAGTAACTAACGTCTGCATGCTTCATAGATTTCCGCGCTGCCTTAGACTGTCAATAAGGAATCTCTCTGGAAATTACTGTAACCCAGGAGAATGCCACAAAATTTATCGCACTGCTAAATTCATACTACAAAGGCGCAAAACAAAACCTATGGTCAGGGGTCGGGGAAGTTCAGCCTAAGTTCCACAGTTTAATAAGGCTGTCCGTTATAGCCTGATCGATTCAATTATGCTACAGACCAGCTGCTACGTAACGCGTAGAGCGGGCGATCAACCCTCACCCTGATGGCAAGTAACGAATGGTACTGCCGTCGTGGTGACCAGTTGAAGACCTGGATCAGCACCGTGAAATCTGAATGCTAGAGGATCCAAACTGTCTACGGTTCTCGAAATTGAAATCGAAGTTGGCTATCCATTTATGTTGATCTCGTCGCCAACAGCAGTGCGTGAGGGGCTGTAATCAAAGACATTCATGAAGTTGACTCATCCTATCGCAGGATATGATGGTGTAACAGCAAAGTAGGTATGTCTTTTAAAGTCTTCGGTATCTCTGCGATCCATATGAAAAACAACTTTGGCTAAGATGTAGAGCTGTAGGGTCCTATGTGCTGTCAAATCTTCTTATCATTGTTACTATACAGCTATTCCTGGCGTTCCGTGTACACAATGTTCTCGTGTGTGAAGAGAAATCATTAGGATGCAGAAAAACAACAATGACCGTTGATCAAGTAAAGGAAGATCGTATTTTGAGGAAGACGGATTCACACACAAAAAATGAAGGTAAACTCACATCAAGATCACCCCGTTCGAGCATTAATTCCATGCCGTCCATATGTTCCGCCAAACAACCGTACGGATGACGTGGTAGTGGACAATACCAGTAATTGCACACATTCTCCGCAAGAGATGTGATACAATCCGATTCGGACATCAGCGCCGGGGGCATATACAATCCGGGTGTAGTAGTCGCGCCACTCATACTGATAGTCTCGTCGAAGTTGAACAGATCTTGTTGAGTACAACGCATACTCAACGAGTCCCTGCGACACGCGTCTCTTTCAGCCTCAAGATCACGGTCTTGAAGACTCAAGTTGCCAGCAATGCGTTGTATGAAAAAAGAAAACAGCGGACTGAAACAGAACTGATCCATTTTCTTCACGTTAGGAAGTGCCCACCTGTTCCAACCACGTCGTGAAGAGGATGTTGGACTAGTGAACAGAGACCAAAAACGTGAGTCCATCTCACACGCGTAAGCCACGTTGAAATACTGCATTTGGAAGAGAGGAGAAAACTAAGAATAGTTGGCAAACAGTGAAAGATGTATGGGTAACGGCTAAGCATGGAAACCTTTGACTACTAAACAGCGTGAACCTGAGTAACAGCTACATTACTATATGCATATGCGATCGACATAGAGGCAGGAGCGATCAACAGTTGAGAACCTGAGAATATAAAAGGTGAATCAGTGACTTCTGCGACAGCATTGCATCGAATAAACTCACGTGCAGGTGTTCACAAGCGATTCAGGGGAAGTAGAGGTCAACTGGTTGCTGGTGCACATATGCGGAAGGAGAAAGGTGAGTATCTCAGGGTTGATCCTCAGTAGTTTGGATGTTTTAAATCTGTTGTGGCATGCTACACAGTATCGTATAAATGATCTAAGAGCCATGCGAGCAGTGATGGCAGTCAAACAGTTTTTCATCATCTTCAGTAAACTACGCATTTCAAGAGGTGATGGTAACGGTAGCTGCAGTAATTCTGTCATCCGAGGGCGAAACTTGAAAAATTTAAACTAACCGTTAGTAGTTAGATAGTATAAAAACAGAGGTAGTTCTAGGTAAACTTGCATCTGAAGGTAGGAAAATTAATTACGAATCGATCGTTAAGGATGAAAAGTTGGCAATGAACAACCGTGATTTTGCTTAACAGCCGACAACGGGTTTTTTCCTGGTTATCACCGGAGAAAAATTAGGAAACCCACCCGTTTGGTCACTTCGAGTAGCCAATGCACAGGAGAAACTATCGGATGAGGGATACCGGAATTATCCGGTGGACTGGGCGAGGCGACCTTGCCGTCCGGATCGATGGTGCTCGAATTGGGACGAGTGGAGACGCCAATGACAAGTCGTTTGAAAGGACCAGACTGAGTGAGAATATGTGCGAATATACGATGTCCGATCGGACCACTGCGAGGATCGAGCAATCTCAATGCGAACGGAGTCATCGGATCGACCTGATCTGATTGCGGTGAGGCATGCATCGGTTCAGGCAAGACGGTACGAGCAAGTGCGTGGACATTTACCGATTCCGAGCAAATTTCCTGGAAATTCGAATTTGTGAATATCACACAGTCAGGAGCAGTTCAAATTTAAAGTCGCATTCAGCGAGAAAACAACTTTGAGATGGATTTCAATTTATGACTGCACATGACGAAAAGTGCAGTATTTTCCGTTTTATTCGGATATATGAACTGAGAAAAATCCGAAAAGCAATATAGCGCAATGGTCGAAGAAGCAAGCAGATAAACCGATGATAGAGCATAGATGTGCCTCTGAAAACCTCAGTATGGTCAGGGGTAGGTGTATCGGATTGTGGTTGGTCACATTTAGCTTGCACCTCGTCAAATACTCCCGTACCTAAAAACCCTGATTCCGAACCAACTGAGAGGAGGCTTAAGAATCACACCCACCCACATCTTCCCGGTTGTGGCAATGGTCACCGGCTCAATTGAGCACCTTGGACGTTTGACCCCGTCCAAAGGGTGTATGACCCGATGAACTGGACACCGCCCCCCTGCCTTGTGGGTGAGGCTTTGGTTAGCCGAAGGCTCCGGTTGTAAACTCCCCAAGAAAATTCACCTACCTGGGCAACCTAGCAGTACTCCGCCCACAACCACACTATGGAACGTTCTTCATTTTTATTATTGCACCGTGATTGGTTTGGTACACAGTATGACCTTAGACAAATGTGGAATACAAATACAATATATGTCCACACCCATGAAATGGTAGGGTGAACTATAAAAATGAGTGGCTGACTTGCTCTTGTACAACATACAAATTTCGGCGGGAACGTACCTCGAGTAACTGGAGTGCGTGATCAGCGACTTGTTTCGATGGATCCAGGCAGAGTTTAACTACAAGATCCACGCACCAACTCGATAAGAACGGCAGCTGTAGTCGAAACAGTAATCGAATCAACTGTACCGAGTAAAGCCGAACTG